GGGTTCAACCTCTCGCCGTCACTCTCTAGGGAAACCAACGACTCACCGGGGCCGGGCACAGGCAGGGGATGCTCGGGAAAAGCAGGCGGGACGCCCGCCTCCCCCCCAGGGATGTTGAAAACCTTGCGGAAGTACTGGAGTGTATTCTAAGAACTCTCCATGCTCAGGCAGGTCCCCATGGGTGGGCTGTGCAAGGGGTTAGAAGAGAGGTTGGAGTCGGAGCCTATGAAAGGGGGACTCGGTAATTGTTGGGCCCTGGTTGAAAGCTGGACCACCAGCAGCCGATGGGTTCCCGTACCCGTGGCTAAAGGGGAGAGGCGACCCCACCGGAAAAGTCCCGCCGATGGGGGTTTTGGCGGCGATGACCGCGAGGGGCCCTTGTGACGATGCAGCTTTGGTTGGCGCCGCTGAGAATTTGTGCGTGGACCAACTGTTGCTGAACCTGGCCGGTGGTAAGACAGGGATGGCCGTAGAGATGGCTAGAAGGAAAACGAGCCCAGAGGTTCCTTGAAAGTGAGTCTCTGACTATATCCTTCGCAATCTCGTTTAGATTTGATGCAGTTGTTGCAAGTCGGCTTGCCTTCGTCACATTTTGATGCGGCGTCGCCGGCACGCTAGGAAATACAATGTCAATACAGCGGATTCCGTGGGAGATGGTCATCTAGAGGACACGGCCCAACTCACTCAGACATCCGGTCTTTGTCCTCTTCCTCACTGTCCCCTTTCTTGGTGGTTGTGAAGGATCCCCTTTGCTACCAGATGTAGGAGAAGGGGCTTGTCTGGGTTCCTCAGAAGAGCCCGCATTTGGCGGTGGTTCGGCCGAATCCATGGCGCCGAGAGTGGATTCTAGAATGGACAGGATACCGAAGTGGCCACCGTCGCCGAGTGAATTGGTGGGTATAAACTGCCAAAGAAAGGGCGAGTCCAGGACCTAACGAAGGAAAAAGTGGTAGAGAAAGGGTAATCAGCTTTGTCCCGCCTTGTGGTAGAGGATGGGCTGTATGTCAACGGGGCCGGAGAGCAGCGAAACGCCGTCAGTGTGCCCTAGACCGGGCTGTTCGGGTGGGTGGAAGGCCAGTACTGTATATGGGCAACCTCGCTGGAGAGCGCCGGAACACGTCTAGTGTAACTAACGAGGGAGGGGGGGGGGGTGAATTGCCGGCCCCTTAGGTCGTCTTGTGGCCCCGTTGATGCCCGCCCGGATCCAAACCTGGCACCTTTGCGAAATACAGTGCAGGGTGCAGCAGCAGCAGGAGCAGCAGCGTAACAACAGCGGTGCCTCAATTGAGTGCTGTTACAAGCTGAACTCGCTCAACCCCGAAGTGGCCGAATACTTGCAGGTGCCGCCGAAGGCTATGCAGCGTGTGGTCGGCCTTTGTCGTCGCCCCGAAGGCGGGAAGTCCGGGGGTGGGCTGTCGCGGAACGGGCCTCTCAAGAAGATTCCTCCCACGCCTGACTAGGGGGTGATTTCAGGGCTCGGCGCCGCAGTCAGGGGTAATTTGGCAATCGGACCTCGTCGGCACTTTCAAGGGGTTGTCAAGCCGCGCTGACCTTGGATGATAACATCGCAGCTCTGCCGTGGGGAAGAAGGCGCCGTGGTGAGGACGAGATCGGCATCTAGTCACCACAAACAGAGT